GGTCCCCGAGCTTCGCCTCGGCCGTCCACCCGCCCACCTGCAGCGGCCCCTGCCGGCTTCCGGCCTCCGCTGCCCGGGGAAAGTTGCCGATCGACGCCCGCCGCTCAGCCCCGGCCCGAGCCGGTGGCTGAGGGCGCGGGGCTGTGTCGCGGTCCCCGGCTGCAGGTAGTGCCCGCGGTGGACCTGGGTGAGCTGGTCACCTTCACGTTTTCCTCCGGCTCCGTCTGCCCCTTCTATACTAGCCCGAGGACGTGAAGCTTCTTTAAATTAGTGCTGATTGCAGAAACCGAGGGTCATTTCACCGTAGAAGTGGTTGGAAGGTGAGAAGCCTTTGCTCCCGGCACTTGGATTCTAGTCCTGTTTTCTCTGCGCATATGAGTAGCTGTGTTACTTTGGGCAAATAACTGTGCTGTTCGGTGCCACATTTTAGTATCCAAAATGTTTCAGACCGTGCTTGGCAAAATTTAGTTGTGACTGGCGGGGGTTGGGGGGCGGATAGCCTTTTTCTCTCGAAAGCTCTATAAACTCTGAACGGGGGCGGATTAACTTTTTTGAAGACTTAGTTTGCACAGTTGCAAAATGGGAATAATAATACTTACATTGCGCTTTTCTTGGCCTAAGTAGGATGTCACTGCATGTTACTGTTATTTACAGAAAAGTGTTGAGTATTAACGAGATTTGTTTTCTGGAAATCTTTTCCTCAATACGAACAAGTCTGAAAAATCCCAGACTTGACTTGGAAGTCTAAGAATCTGGTTTAAATGAAGAAAAAGAGTGTGTGTGTGTGTGTGTGTGTGTGTGTGGTCTGAATACCTTGCCCCAGGTTTATGGTATGTGTTAGGCCTTGGGTTTCCTTCCCTGTGTCCTGAGGAAACCCATCTCTACAGTGACTTTACAGTCACACACATGGATAGCTCAGTATTAATCCTTTTCAAAATAAGGAATTTTTCTCAGTTGAGGTACTTAAAAATACACACTTAGGGGCACTTCTGGGATAGTTTTGGTTTGATATAAAATTCACTGTTGTAACTATTTTAAAGTATTGGCTGTTTTTTTTAATTTTTTTTTTTAATGTTTATTTATCTTAAGGCAAGCAGAGGAGGGGGTGGGGGGGGGGACAGAGGACCTGAAGTGGGCTCTGTGCTTAGAGCAGAGAGCCTGATGCTGAGCATAAACTTAGGAACTGGGAGATCACATCCTGAGCATCCTGAAGTGGGATGCTTAACTGACCGAGACACCCACCGCTGGTCTAATGGTTTTTAGGATAAATATTCAGCGTCACACAACTGTCACTGCTCTATAATTCCACATTTTCATCACTCCCCCCCAAAACCTATTAAGTGTCTGTTAAGCAGTCACTTCCTACTTCCCCTCCCTCCAGCAGCCACTAATTACACTGGCACTATGGATTTGCCCACTCCGGACATTTCTTATAAGTAGAGTCTTACAGTATGTGGCCTTTTACTTTTGGCTTTTTTCACTGATTATAATCTCTAGTTCATCCGAAGTGTGGCATGTGCTCCTTTTGATGGCCAAATAATATTCCATTATGTGGATATACCACATTTTGTTTCTCTGTTTATCAGTTGACAGACATTTGGATGATTTTCGGCTGTTCTGAACTGTGCCGCAGTGAATACTGTGTACAACTTTTTATGAGGACGTGTATTTTCCATTCTGTGAGGTATACACCTAAAAGTAGAATTGCAGGAGCACATGAACTCTTTTCAAAATGGCTGCACCACTTGACCTTCACACAAGCAGTGTATGAAGGTTCCAATTTCTGTCCACCTTTTAAGGCTTGTTGTTCTCAGGGGTTTTGTTGTTGACTTTAGCCTTCCTAGTGGGTGTGAAATGGCATCCTATTGTGATTTTGATGTGCATTTTCTTAATGACTAAGGATGTTGAACATCTTTTTTCATGTGGTTGGTGGCTGTGTTCAAGTCCTTTTGTTTTGAGGCACTTTGGTTTTAATGCTCCCTGGTGAAGAATTTGGAAATACTTAAAGCTTGAATGTGTTTAAGGGTGGGGATAAAAGGGGTATGGGATTTGGCATAAAGAAAACAAATGAATGCCTCCTAAATTACTTCTTAAAGCTTGTGGGTAGGAAAAGTAACAAAGGGATCAACTTTACTGGTTTCAGGTTTGCAAGTAGAAGAACTGAGGAATTACCTAAAACAGGCCTTCTGTGAGTTGCTTCAGACTTACAGTGGATACCTTCCTTTTGTAGTAGGTGAGCGCCAAAATTGGCTGCAATGAGGCCTGAGAATTCCTTGCTTAATTCTCAGAGTTCTTTCCTAAGTGTTCTAGAAACAATTCCTGTACAGTCAAGAAATAAAACATTTTGTTTAGACTTGATATATTTTCTGGGGTTTTTTTGTTGTTAACTGAATCCTTACTTGGGAACAAATACACTAATTTTACATTTCAAAAATTTTGTCATATTGGTATTAGAATCCATGTGAATTTTTTAGACCACCATGATAAATTATTGCTTTGAATTAAAGCATCTTGCTTCAGTGCTCAATAGATGAAATTGCAGGGTTTGTTGTCTTAGTAATAGGACTTTTGGGGGTGGGAAGAGTAGATAAGGACAGGAGACTGGCCACAGTTGGACTTTTTGTATACCATCTTAGTAGTTACAGAGAAGTAAAAGGAGGGGCATCTGAGTTAAATGAGATAATGTAAGACCGGGAAAGCATTTGAATTTGTTACTACATTTTGTAAGACTTAAGAAACAAGACTTTATTTATTTTTTTTTTTCAACGTTTTTATTCATTTTTGGGACAGAGAGAGACAGCATGAATGGGGGAGGGGCAGAGAGAGAGGGAGACACAGAATCGGAAACAGGCTCCAGGCTCCGAGCCATCAGCCCAGAGCCCGACGCGGGGCTCGAAATCACGGACCGCGAGATCGTGACCTGGCTGAAGTCGGACGCTTAACCGACTGCGCCACCCAGGTGCCCCAGAAACAAGACTTTAAATATGATATAGATAGATACACACACACACCCACACACACAATGGAGTATTACTTGGCAATCAAAAAGAATGAAATCTTGCCATTTGCAACTATGTGGATGGAATTGGAGGGTAGTATAGTAAGTGAAATTAGAGAAAGACCAATATCATGACTTCACTCATATGAGGACTTTAAGATACAAAACAGATGAACATAAGGGACAAAACATAAGAGACTCTTAAATACAGAGAAACAGAAGGTTGCTGGAGGGGTTGTGAGGGGGGATGGGCTAAAAGGGTAGGGGGGATTAAGGAATCTACTCCTGAAATCATTGTTGTACCATATGCTAACTAACTTGGATGTAATTAAAAATAAATAATGCAAATAAACAAGACCTTAACACTCTACTTTGGACATTATACTAAGTTATCAAGCATTTGAAGATTTTTATATTGAGGGTTTTTTTAATGTTTATTTTTGAGAGAGACCTTGCATGCCCCTGTGCTTGGGGAAGGGGCAGAGAGAGAGGGAGACAGAATACCAACCAGGCTCAGCGCTAACAGTTCGATGCAGGGGCTTGAACTCATGAACCTCAAGATCATGAGCTAACTGGAAATCAAGAGTCAGACACTCAACCCACTGATCCACCCAGGCGCTCCTATACTAAGTTTTTTTTGTTTGTTTGTTTGTTTTTTTTAATAAGAACTCAGCTAGAGTCAAATTGTTATTAATCAAGCCAGAATGTAAAATTATTTTAAGAAAAACAAACCCTTGTTTGTAAGGATATTATGCATTTGCAGTACATCAGAGGATAATTGGGGAAAAGGTTTTAAGCTGATTATCTTTCACTCTTCATAAAATGTTGGCCCATTCTGCAGAAAGTAGAAATAGACACTGGCAGGCAGTGTATTCACATGAGGAGAGAAGAACAAACAGGTGGGTTTTTTAGTGCACCAGGAGTATGTCACACTTTGGATTGTTCACCTAGGTTTGTCTCCTCTACGGTGCAGCCAAGACCCAGACTTTAGACTGCAGCATTACCCCTGAGATTCAGAACGACACTTTTTCTCCCCCGCCCCCCCCTTTTTTTTTTTAATAAATTTTTCTTTAATGTTTACTTTTGAAAGAGACAGTGTGAGCGTGGGAGGGGCAGAGAGAGAGAGGGAGACAATCTGAAGTGGGCTCCAGGCTCTGAGGTGTCAGCACAGAACCCAACGTGGGGCTCGAACTCACAAGCTGAGAGATCAGGACCAGATCTGAGTTGGACGCTTAACCGAATAAGCCACCCAGGCGCCCCAAGACATTTTCTTAAAAGCAAAAATAGGTCTTTATTTTTTTATTTCTTGTCTTAAAAATGCAAATTTATTGATGTGTAACATTTGGGATAGGAGTCTGAGGAACAATCACAGAAAGTAAGACTACTTCAGTAAAGTTACCATAGCATTTCACCCTGTTCATCATGTATTTGCTCATCTTTTGAAAGATTTTTAAAATTCCTAATATCTGATGACTAGGAAGAGATGTTAAAAGGAAATCCATGAATTGGCTTTTTTTTTTTTTAAAGATTTATTCATCCAGCTTTATGAATCACAGAAATATCTTTTAAGTAAAATGTTCTAAAACAAAGGCAGATAACATCTACCAAAGTGAAAAATTTAGGCTTAATTAACTCTTGCTACATTAATATTAAATTTTCCTTAAGAAAACCAGGAAGCTTTAGTTATTTACAGTTCTATAGGCTGGAGAAAAGAATCCCAGGTTGTAACCAACCCTAGTAAATTTAAATGAGCCTCTTAATACTTAGCTTTTCAGTAAATTGAAATGACCAGGGGGCATAATATCCAGCTATTATCTTTTCTATCATAGCTAACTTACCTTCTGTTTTAACACAGCTACAGAAAGATCTAGAAGAGGTGAAGGTGCTCCTGGAAAAGGCCACTAGAAAAAGAGTACGTGATGCCCTTACGACTGAAAAATCCAAGATCGAGACCGAAATCAAGAACAAGGTGCAGCAGAAATCACAGAGAAAAGCAGAACTTGTTGACAGTGAAAAGCCAGCTGCTGTGGTTGCTCCCATTACAACGGGATACACCGTGAAAATCAGTAATTACGGTATGACTCACTACCCTACATGCAGCTCTTTCTGCCTTCCAGTAACTTATTCCTGAGTAGTGACCCACTAACAAACTCAATTTTTAAAACAATCTCAGTGTTTGCTTTTGGTGGTTTGAAAGAGAAGACCCATCGATGAAGAAAGGAAAGAATACATTCTAGAAGCTTCTAACAAGAAAGCAAAATGATTTAGTACAATGAGTAGCAACAAAAATGAACCTATTCTGAAATATGTTCAGCATATGAGGAACACAGATTCTTGTTTTGCTTTAATCATGTTTTGCATTATATTTTGCCAAACAACCACCAGTATTATCTAAGGAAGGGAATCTAGTTATATTCGAGAAACATCTTTGAGCGCCTAATATGTGCCACTATTGTGCTTGGGCTCGTGGCAACAACAGTGACCAAGACCCGATCCTTGCTCGTGGTGTGGTTAGAACACAGACCTACAACTAACACCGGGTCGTGTACTAATGCTGTTTTCCCTCAGTAGGTTGTTTGGAACAGTGCAATTTTGGTGTGAGGAGCTTTCATGAGGGGAGGGACGGTCATTTTTCTTTGTGCTCACAACATCTAGCATGTAGTAGTCACTTCCTGTTTGCTTAAATGAAGAGATTTGGGAAGTTCTGTGGGAGTACAGCTGATGTAATCTGAAGGAGGTAAGGAATGGAGAATTACAAGAGACACTTGAGTTTGGAGGGCAAGTTCGGCAAGTGTGAGGAGAGGACACGCCTGGGGAGGTGAAAGGCACTGTGTTTTCTGTATTGTCCTAATGAAAAGCAGTGTGTCCTGCTTAAGAGACGAACTGTGGTACAATAAGGAGATAATGCTGTGTACTTACTCGACCATAGGAAACTGGTCTGAGGTTGTAGGATTGTGGCATGCACCCAGACACCTAGATTTGCATTTAGGGATGGATTGAATGCATGGGAAGAAACTGGATGAGGTTCTGCAGAACTCTCTCTAGGACATCTTTTTTGATGACCAGTACATTTCTGTTGTATAGGACTAAGCAAGGGACAGTCTGGGATATATGTATTTAATCTATATATACGATAAATACATACACGTTTTTAGAATATACCTTCTATGTGAAGTTAATATGTATTTTGTGTTGGCCATTCATCTAGGTTAGAGAATAATATGAATAGTTTGATAACGTATGCCTCAGTGGCATTTAGTAGATCTTGATTAGTGAAATTGTATTTGGATGAATTGGACTCTGAATTCTACTTTGTCAGGGAAGGGAATTAAGGAAACTATGATTGCGTTTTAACTGCTTAGAGAAGTAGAAAGGATTATGAAATTAGATGGTGCTGATGTTTAGCCATCCAGTTTAGTAGAGAATTATTGATATTTAGGTATAGGAGAAAAATTCCACAAAAAGAAAATGAGCTGGGTGTTTTGTTTTGTTTGGGGGCGGGGGACTTAATTTTTTGAGCGTAGTTGACCCATAGTGATACATTAGTTTCAGGTGTACAGCATAGTGATTCAGCATCTCTGTGTTATGCTGTATGTAGCTGCCATCTGGCACCATCTGGCACTATTACAGTATCATCTGCTATATTCCCCCTGCCGTATTTTTTATTCCCCCCGCCGTATTTTTTATTCCCCCCGACTTATTCATTCCATAACTGGAAGCCTCTGTCTCCCACTCCCCTTCACCACTGTACTGTGCCTGTGGTGGTTCCCAGCAGCCATTGGTGTGTTCTCTGTATTTATGGGTCTGTTTCTGCTTTTGTTTGGTGTTTTAGATTCCACATATAAATGAAATCATAGAGTAGTTGTTTTTCTCTGACTTCATTTAGCATAATACTCTTTCAGTCCTTCTATATTGTTGCAGAGGCAAGATCTTTCTTATGGCTGAGTAATATTCCACATGTGTATCCTATATACCACATCTTTATCCATTCATCTTTTGATGGACACTTAAGTTGCTTCCCTATCTTGGCTAGTATAAATAATGCTACAATAAACATAGGGTGCATATTTTTTCAGGTTAGTGTTTTCGTTTTCCACAAGTAAATACCCAGTAGTGGAATTACTGAATCATAGGGTATTTCTATTTTTAATTTCCTGAGCAACCTCCATACTCTTTTCCACACTGGCTGTACCAGTTTGCATTCCCACCCAGCAGTGCACAGGGTTTTCTTTTTCTCCACATCCTCACCCACACTTGTTATTTCTTGTTTTTAATTCTAGCCATTTTGACAGGTGTAAGGTGGTAATCTCATTGTAGCTTTGATTTGGTATTTCCCTGATGATTATTGAGCATCTTTTCATGTGTCGGTCATCTGTAGGTCTTTGGGAGAATGTCTGTTCAGGTCCTCTGCCCATTTTTTTTTTCATTGGATTGGTGGGTGGAGGGGGGGTTGGTATTGAGTTGTATATAAGTTCTTCCTATATTTTGAATATCTAACCCCTTATTTGCAAGTATTGAATTTGCAAACTCAATAGGTTGCCTTTTCATTTTGTTGATGATCCTTTTATGTGCAGAAGCTTTTTATTTTAATATAGTCTTAATAGTTTATTTTTTTTAATGTTTATTTTTGAAGGAGAGAGAGAGAGTGTGTGAGTAGGGGAGGGGCAGAGAGAGATAGAGGGAGACACAGAATCTGAGGCAGGCTCCAGGCTCTGAGCCATCAGCACAGAACCTGATGCAGGACTCGAACCCTTGAACTGTGAGATCATGACCTGAGCTGAAGTCGGATGCTCAACTGACTGAGCCACCCAGGCGCCCCTAGTCTTAATAGTTTATTTTTGCTTTTGTTTCCCTTGCCGCAGGAGCCACATCTAGAAAAACCCTGCTATGGCCAGTATCAGAGACATTATTGCCTGTGTTCTCTTCTAGGAGTTCATGGTTTCATGTCTCACATTTTGGCCTTTGATCCATTTTGAGTTTATTTCTGTGTGCGGTGTTAGAAAAATGAGCTACTCTTAAAAGAATGTATTTAATGCTCATATTCCTTATTCTAAGGTATATTAAAAAAAACAACACATGGGCTTTGTGTTCAGTAAACCTGGATTTGAATCTCAGTTCTACCACTAGCTAGATGCCTAAATTTGGGTAGATTGCTTAACTGTTAAAAAGTTCAATTTCTCCATCTAGAAAATTCTTCTAATTTTTCCCATGTTTCTATTACTAGAATTTAGTTTTCTCCAGTTTAAGGAGCCATTTGCATTTGCTGTTCTAGAGATACTGAGACTTCACTCATGTCCCTTTTTTTTGTTACTAGGATGGGATCAGTCAGATAAGTTTGTGAAAATCTACATTACCTTAACTGGAGTTCATCAAATCCCCACTGAGAATGTGCAGGTGCATTTCACAGAGAGGTGAGTTTTCACAATGGGGAAGGTAGTGATCATTAAGTCCGAGATTGCCTTATTACCAGTTCTTTTCTCTTGCAGTTTCTAAAACTTGCTTAAATTTAGAATTGTCCTTTACACGTGTTTCGAAGAGGTTACTCTCACCAGGGGTGGCCAAATGCACATCCTGAAATAAAACTCATGTCTTTTTTCCACAAGAGCTGTAGAGCACAAAGCTTACGTATTTACTGTTGTGTTGTAGGTCATTTGATCTCTTGGTAAAGAATCTAAATGGAAAGAGTTACTCCATGATTGTGAATAATCTCTTGAAACCCATCTCTGTGGAAGGCAGTTCAAAAAAAGTAAGTTTGCTCTTTTGTCATAATGTAAAACCTCACTAAATTGAACCTGGTTGATTTAGAGTTGAGATGAGCTAGAATTAATTTATCCTCCATAACAGGGGTCAGCAAACTACAGTCTGATCCCTTTATCGGAACATGCCTGTGCTCACTTAGGTGTTGTCTGGGGCTGCATTTGTGCTATAACGAAACAAGGAGCTGCACCAGACCCTGAAATACTAACTGGCCATTTGTCAACTCCTGTTCTGTGGGAATAGATTCTTGGGTGCCTGGGCGGCTCAGTCAGTTAAGCATCTGACTTTGGCTCATGATCTCTGTTCTTGAGCTCGACCCCGCTTCAGGTGAGCCCTGTTTCTCTGCCCCCTCACTCTCAAAAAAAAAAAAAAAAAAAGGGAATAATGCCATTAAAATCAGGAGAGGGAATAAACTATTAAAATTGGTTTAGAGTGAGAACTGAGTTTTAATGCCAGGTTTTCCATTTACTAGTTGTGACTTTTTGGCAGCTCACTTTATCCCTCTGTGCCTCAGTTTCCTCATTTGTATGATGGCAGTGATTTGTTTTACACAGTTGAAATTATATACTAAAGTGAAATTAAAGTGCTTAAATAATGGTAGTTATTATTAGCATCATGTAAATTTTCGAAACATAAAAGGGCTTCAGCACTCAGCCTAACTGGAGTTAGTAAAAGCTGTAAAAAAGTCTTTTAAACTATTATGCATACTTCTCACTAATTCAGATAATCTTTTCCCTACTTAATTTAAATAGGGTTTAATGCATCTGGTACATAGATGTGCCATTTTGCCATCTGTGTTTGCACAGTTATATAGCAGGTTAAAGGTAGTATTAGAATGTAATTTATGAATTATCTTGTGTCTCACTGCTTTCTTCTTCATCCATTAATCCCATAATTGAATGCTCAAATAATCCTGGCAATTATATGGATCATTGTTGAAAGAGTATATTCTCTTGCTTTCTGCCTATCTCTGACCCCTCTAAGAGAACTCTCTTTCAATCACCAAAATCTCACCAGTCCCTTTTTATCAAACACACTAAAATCATCCCATTTTACAGCCTTTCTCCTTGCAGTGCCCTTTCTTCCAGATCTTGGGCCACTGCTCAGATTTCAGCTCACAGAGGCCTTTCTTAATGAAGTTCCCCCTTGAAGCCCCATTGACACCTTATGTTGGTTTTTGTCTTTATATTTGAAGGTATTCCAATTTTACTTGTCTATGGTCTTTCTCTTCCATGAGTGTTTGGACTCTGGCCTATTTGTAAAAGTATTACACGTAAAACAGGTCTTACATGTAATAGTAACTTGATTGAGTAACTGTTTTCCAAATATCCATGCTCTCTCCATGTGTTGTAAGTTGTACTTGTTTTCCTGCTTTTCTTCCAGGTTAAGACAGATACAGTTCTTATCTTATGTAGAAAGAAAGCAGAAAACATGAGGTGGGACTACCTGACTCAAGTTGAAAAAGAATGCAAAGAAAAAGAGTGAGTTTACTTTCATTTCTTTAAGAATTCTAATGTATTCTTTGCTGGGATTGTAGATTTTTAATACTTTGCTATGGTGGTGAAGAGCTGTAGTCTGCGATTTGACCATTTACCTCTTAATGTCCACTGAGTAACCCAATTATCCTCTATCTTTCAACTGTCAGAACCTACCAAAAGAGGGCACATGGCCAGCAAGTTGCTTTATACCCAGGGCTTTAGTTTTGATTGGCTGTTTTGTACTGGACCTTAACACTAAGCCAGTGGTATTCCTTTTATTTTTTGTTCCCTGCCACGATGGTACTCCTAAGCCAGTGGTATTCCTATATGGATACCAGGTCCTTTCTCAGAGATTACTTTTCATTAGTCTAAGAATTTCACAGAAGTTTCTTACACGTAATTTAGTTTCACAGTCACTGGTGTAGAGTGAAAAAGTATTTTTATCCATTAATGACCATTCCAAAAAGTGTTCATTTAAAGATACTTCCATCCTAGGTCAAACTGTTACTCTGCTTTAAATATCCTGCAGTGGCCATGTCCTACATTGAGTTGCTTAGCCTTCCACATTCCTCTCACTCCTTCCCCGGTAGCCTGTGTGCACTTGGTTGGTTAGGGTTAGAAGCTATCTGAATTGATTTTAAATCGAGAACGAATTACCTGAGTACAGGACTATGTCTTTGTCTTACTGTTTCTTCAGAGCCAGTTATGCGATCTGGCACTTAAGTGAAGAAGATAATTTGCCCTGCTTGGACATTGGTTGAACTGGAGGCATTCATTATGATAAGGACATAGCAGTAAATGGGATCATTTATAGATATGTATTTGTATCTCCATTATTTGTTTTCTTTTTAATAGAAAGCCCTCCTATGACACTGAAACAGATCCTAGTGAGGGACTGATGAATGTTCTAAAGAAAATTTATGAAGATGGAGATGATGATATGAAGCGAACCATTAATAAAGCCTGGGTGGAATCAAGAGAGAAGCAAGCCAAAGGAGACACAGAATTTTGAGACTTGAAAGTCATTTTGGGGACTGTGATGTGGAAATACTGATCTTTCCAATGAGGAAATGTTGGTGAGCTGCACAGATAAATTTGACAGATAACTACTTACATAGCCTTCTTCTAAGTGAAGGCAATGAATTCTCCCATTTCTACTGGAGGATTTATTTAAATATGCTTATTAAACACTTCCTCCAAAGATGGTTTCCTTAGTAATCTGGGCATTTCGTTCAAAAAAGGATAATATTGTATTCTTGTGTGAAATGTTAAAAAGCAAGTCTTGCCTAATGATAATGCCACATCGTGTGTATTTTTGTTCAGCTAAGAGGTAGAAAACAAAAGTTCTCGTTTGCCTATAAGTTTCTGACATCACCTCCCACCAATGTAAGAATAAGTAAAAATAAAACCTGGATTTTTGCATAAAATGCAAATGTGTACCTGTGTACTTCAAGGTTGTAGAGTTTTTCTGTGAACAGCTTAATATATATACACAACACATCACCATGCCCTAATCACAAATGTTTTTCTCTAAATATATTTAAGTTAAAGCTAAACCTAAATGATAAACATCTTTGTATAGTATTAGTGTTGCCATGTTGTAAGATGGCTTACAAAAGCAGTAACTATAAAGCAAAAATAAATGAAAACCCATCAATTCCTATGTTCACTCAAGCTGATTAGGATTTTGTTCAATGGAATAGTTCAGTCTATCCAGGAGTGTGTCACAAAAGGCTTCAAAAAGGGAGGATTTGTTTTAGAATTACTCCCTCCTAGAAATAAGGAGTAAGAGCAAGATGCCCGTGACGTGTTTCCCAATGCAATTAGAGACGAGAAAGCATACACATAGAGGAAAAAAATCCAAGAGGATTAACCAAAAGTATGATTAATAATCAGAGTCTGGTAAAAGTGGTAGGGTAAATTTGGTAGGGTTTAAAATGTATTTCAGGGAAACGTCAAAGGAAAATTCCTTATATTTTTGCCAGCTAAGAGAGGAAACAATGATGGAATTTAGAAAATCACTATTGTAACGTTAATGAAATACAGACTAGGGTAAAAATCACCAACCAATGAAATGTTAAAATCCTTAGGGGGCACTGAAAGCCGGACAAGATATGTGCCTTCTTTTTTGTTAATGGTGAATTTTTATTTCAGAAATAATACCTTGTGGGTTTTTTTATTTTGAGAGAGAGTGCATGAGTGCGATGGGGCAGAGAGAGGGAGGGAGGAAGAGAATTCCCAAGCAGGCTCTGTGGGGCTCGATTCCACAAACCATGAGAGCTGAAACCAAGAATCAGATGCTCAACTGACTGAGCCACCCAGGCGCTCCAGATATGTGTCTTCTGATGTGACATGAACTAGAACCCAGCACATTTGTGAAAATTCATCCCTTAAAAACCGAGCCTGAATCTTGCCAAGCCTCTGAATGTAACTGAGTTTTTAGGGACAGAGAACAAAGCTAAAGGACACATGAAACACATAGCCAGATGTTGGCCACCGTACAGGACAAATGAGTGACATGAGAAAACAGGAATGAGAGGCACAGCAACCAAATGCAATCTACAGATCATGCTCAGACCCAAGTTCAAACAAATGAAAACAGGGTGTCCTATCCATGATCTACCAGAAATCCACAAATCTGATGTCCTAGTTACACTCTGATTAACACCAGGTACTGGTTGGAATATTAGCTAGAGCATTCGAGTTGGTAAGTTGTAATAAAAACTTGGCAAATATGAATCCAAGGTTTGTGCTAATTCCCTCTTAAGGCTTCACCTCCACCAAAATTCCAGACTCTGCTATCCAGCTGCACAGCAGACTTGGAAAACAGGCATCTCAAACAGCACAACTGAAACCTAAACTCCCATAACCTGGTTTCTTCCAAACCAATTCTTCTCTTCCTCTATTTTCTGTCTTGGTGTTGCCTTCTCCCATCCTTCTAGTCACCCTTACCAGGAACCTAGAGGCCCCTGTATCTAGTAAATATCATCAGTCTCTAAGTCTTGTCCAATTTTCTTTCCTAAATAAGACTTTTAAAATCTGTTCCTCTTGTCTCATTTGCTAATGCCTGAACTCCCTTTGTCCAGGCTCTGGTTTTCCAGAACAATTTCGACATTCTCCTGCCTTGGTTATCTTGCACGGAGCCTTTTCTCTCATGGCCTAGATCTACCACACGGTTGTCCCTTATCTGTAGAGCAAACTGATGAAGCCATTCCTCTGCTTAAAACTCCCAATAGCCAGTATTTAAGTCTTACCTTCACATAATGTGACCTGTTCCATGACAGCCTTTGTCTTGGGTTTCTTATTCCTCATACAATGAAGTGGCTGCTTCCACTGTCCTCTGCAAACATCTTGTGCCTTGCCTCTTAAGTTCAAATATCAGCTCCAGGAACGCTCTCCCAATGGTACGCAGCAGCTTCCATACTACACAGTGGACAGTTTTATCACTGGGCTGGTCACTGTTGAGCTACTGAACAAAACAACCTTTTGCTATCTTTACTCACTTCTGTTACAGATAAACAAGAATACAGAAAATATATACTATTCCAACAAAACTTTTCCTCTTTGGATAGATTTTCCGGGGCTTAAAGAGACATTTTGTTCTGAAGGCCACTGAAGATGGAGCAAGGAAATATTTAGTGCCTTTTGTTCAGCCATCACACAAAGCAGCCGAGCATTAGTTAGATCATCAAGAACATCGTCTCTACCTTCCGACATACCATTTCTCTAACAATGAGAAATGGTAAAGTGCTCTGCATGTCAGGGAAGCACAACCCAAGATTACAAGTTGTCACAGATGAGCTACTTGTCCATGAGTTGCATTAACTGTCAGATAAAATTGCTTTATGAAATAATGTACTTAAAAAATACAGAAACTTTTAGGATGTTATTAAAAGATTAAATGTGAAGGAAAAGGCAGGTATACAGAGAATATGTTCACAATATTTTTTATTACTGTACTCCTTGTACTATGCAGGGAGGCAGTATGTTTAATTTTTAAGTCCAAGAGAAGAGACAACTCACAGATGGCCAGAGTTCACTGACAATGAAACATCCAAATTTCTTAATTTAAAATTAAGAAGTAATTTAACAGTAGGCAGTATCAGGTAGACTAGACGACTCCTACATTGGACCTCTATAAAACCAGGGTTTTGTCTATTAGAAAAGTCTCTTCTTGCCAGACCTGGTTTCCCTGCTCAGTGGGTCTGGAGCTGATCACCACATTGCCCGCTGGATCCCCGACAGTTGCCCGTGGTCTGCTAAGTGACGGAAGACAATGCGACTAAGCCTCCAGCGCCGCTTTACACCACGCGGACGGGACGTCATAACACAGCGATTTCGGATTCTAACAGGACAGCTATCCCGGGGAAGGGCAGCGATTTCTCCATCAGCCACTTCCTAAGGGAAGTCACAACATTATTACACATATCACAGGCATCTATTTATTCTATATGCGTAAGTCAATGCTTGGAGTAGGGGAACAAAGGGCTAGATTCACTGATAGAGCCAGTTTGTCCAAAGAACCTTGGACACAGTAGTGAACCCTAAGCTTTGGCTAGAAACAGACCAGAAAAATGACAGAAATGTTTGGCATGCTCCCAATACAATTTTTAAAATTTTATAGAAATTTAACATAGGTACACAAAAATCTACAAACCGGAAGTGTAACAGCTCAGTAACTTTTAACAGAACATCTGAGTAATAAGGAACTAGAGTACCAAAAAAACCCATGATAGGTACCCCAGGCCCTGGCTGTGCCTCCTTTCAGACACTGAGCACAGACACTGTCAGCTAACAGCTCACCTGATTACTAACACCACAGATGAGCTTTTCTTACTCAGAATTTTATATAAATCTAACCATATAATAGGGATTCTTTTTTATTCATTTCTCTTTGGCTTCTTCCATTCAATAATATGCTTGTGAGATTCATCCATACTGTTTGATTTTCATTGTGGGACCATACATAATTTCTTTTCATCATACTGGAATTCACTTATCCATTCTATAGCTGATGGACATCTGGGTGGTTTCCAGTTTTGAGCTATCATGAATAGGGCAGCTGTATAAATTTTTCTTTCTCTGAATCTTATTTTTATTTCTATTGAAGTACAGTTGACACACGATGTCAGCTACAGGTGTATAACATGGTGATTCGATAAGTCTACACATTGTGCTGTGCCCACCACATGCGTGGCTACCAATTGTCACCACGCCACACTAAGGCAATGCCACTGACTATATTCCTCATGCTGTACCTTCCATCCCCGTGACTTATTCACCCTATAACAGGAAGCCTGTGCCTCCCACTCCCTCTCCTTCCTTGTGCCCATCTCTCCCCTCAGTTTGTTTTCTGTATTTATGGGTCTTTCTGTTTTTAGATCCCATGTATAAATGCAAGCATATGTAGCATTTTTCTTTCACTTAGCATATACTACTTTCTAAGTTCGTCCATGTTGTTGAAAATGACAAGATCTCATTGCTTTTTATAGCTAAGTAATATTTCACTGTGTACATATATATGTATACACACACACAACTTTATCCAATTTTCTGTCGATGGGCACTTAGGTTGCTTCTGTATCTTGGCTACTGTAAAAAATGCTGCAGTAAACACAGAGGTGCATGTACCTTTCTGAATTAGTGTTTTCGTTTCCCACGGGTAAACACCTAGTAGTGGAATTACTGAATCATATAGTTTTTTGGTTTTTTTAATTTTTTAATATTTGTTTTTGAGAGAGTGTGCGTGTGAGAGCAGGGGCAGCAGAGAAAGAAGGAAAGAGAAAGAACCCAGGTAGGCTCTGTGCTGACTGCATACAGCCCAGTCCTGGGCTCAGTCTCACAAAATGTGAGATCATGACCCAAGCTGAAATCAAGAGTCAGACACTTAACTGACTGAGCCACCCAGGCGCCCTGAATGAATCATACAGTATTTCTAATTTGAGCAACCTCCACACTGTCTTCCACAGTGGCTGCACCAAATTTATATTCCCACCAACAGTGCCTGAAGATTCCCTTTAACCCGCATCCTTGCCAACACTTATTTTTTTAATTCTAACCATTCTGACAAGTGTCAAGTGACATCTCATTGTAGCTTTGGCATTTCCTTATGATGAGTGACGTGGAACGTCTTTTCATGTGTCTGTTGGCCATCTGTCTTCTTCGGAAAAATGTCTATTCATAGGTCCTTTTTTTTTCTCTTTTTAATTGAATTATTTTTTGCTTTTTTGGGGTGTTGAGTTGTAGGAGTTCTTTATATATCTAGGGTACTAACCTATTATCATTTGCAAATATCTTCTATTCATTAGGTTGTCTTTTCATTTTGTTGATGTGCAAAAACTTTTATTGTGGTGTAGTCCCAATAATTTTTATTTATGCTTTTGTTTCCCTTGCCTAAGAAGACATATCTAGAAAAATGTTGCTATTGCTGATATCAAAGAAATTACTGCGTATATTTTCTTCCAGGAGTTTTATTTCAGGCCTCACATTGAGGTCTTTAACCCATTTTGAGTTTATTTTTGGGTATGGTTAAGTAAGTGGTCCAGTTTTCCAAAAGCATTTACTGAAGAGACAGTCTTTTCCCCACTGTATATGCTTGCTTCCTTTGTTGTAGATTAACTGAGTTTATTTCCTTTCCAGTGATCTATGTCTACTTCTGTGCCAGTAGAACACTGTTTTGATTATTATTGCTTTGCTGTTTATCTTGAAATCTGGGATTGGGATACCTCCAGCTTTGTTCTTTCTCAACATTACTTTGCCTACTGAGCTCGTAAGTGGTTCCATAAAAATTTTATTATTATCTGTTCTAGTTCTGTGAGAAGTGCTGGTGGTGTTTTGATAGGGATTGCACTGAATCTGTAGATTGCTTTGGGTAGTATGGACATTTAAACAATATTAATCCTTCCAATCCATGAGCATGGAATATGTTTCCATTTGTTTGTATCGTCTTTAATTTCTTTCATCAACGTTTTATAGTTTTTAGAGTACAGATCTTTCGACTTCTTGGTTTATTCCTATTTAATGTTTTGGGTGCAACTGTAAATGGGACTGTTTCTTTCTTTCTCTTTTTTTTTTAACGTTTTTATTCATTTTTGAGAGACAGAGACAGGGTGTGAGCAGGGGAGGGGCAGAGAGAGAGAGGGAGACACAGAATCTGAAGCAGGCTCCAGGCTCTGAGCTGTCAGCATAGAGACCGACGTGGGCTTGGACTCACAAACTACAAGATCATGACCTGGGCCAAAGTGGGCCGCTTAACTGGCTCCCAGGCGCCCTGGGACTGTTTTCTTAATGCCTCTTTCTGCTACTCTGTCATTAGTGTACAGAAATGCAACTAATTTCTGTGAATTAATTTTGTATCCTGAAACTTTACTGAATTCATTTATTACCTCTAATAAGTTTTTTGGTGAAGTCTTTAGGGTTTTCTATATATAATATCTTGTCACCTCCAAATAGTGACAGTTTAACCTCTTCCTTATCAATTTGGATGCTATCTAAAGCTAACTTTTGTCTGATTGCTGCGGCTAGGACTCCCGGTACCATGTAGAATAAAAGTGGCAAGAGTAGACATTCTTGTCTTGTTTCGGTTCTTTAAAGGAAAAGCCCTCAGTTTTTCACCACTATATACATTCTTGTTTAAGTCATTTAGAAAATATGTGAATGGATTTATTTCTGTTGTCTCCCCATGTTTTTTTCCCAGCTTTATTGAGATGTAATTGACATATAACATTGTGTTAACACATTTAATACATGTATACCTTGCAAAATAATTACTACAATAAGGCCTAATGAACACCTCCATCACCCGAAATAATTACCTTTTTTGGGGGGTGATGAGAACATATAACATTACTCTCTCTTAGTAAGTTTCAAGCATGTAACGCAGTATTGTTAACTATAATCACCATTTTATATGTTAGATTCTCACCACTTACTCAGTTTATAAACAGAAGTTTGTACACTTTGCCCAATATCTTCCCATTTCGCCTACCTCCCAGCCACTGGTAACCACCATTATAATCTATTCCTATGAGTTCAACTTATACCACATTATATATGTAAGTGAGATCAAACATTTGTCTTCCTCTGATTTAATGTAATGTTCCCAAGGTACGTTCAAGTTACTACAAAAGGAAAATCCTACTACATTGGGTGTGTGCACGCGCACCACATTTTCTTTGAATAAATATCTCCTTCATTTGCTGAGACGTAGGGTGTTTCCATGACTTGGCTACTGTGAATAATGCTGCAATATGTGTGGGGGTGCAGATACCTTCTCGAATTCATATTTTCATTTTCTTCACTCAGAAGTAGAACTGCTAGATCATATGGTTCTAATTTTAACTTTTTGAGGAAACTCCAGTTTCAATAATTAGTGCACCCTTTCTCAGACCTTTTGCCGTGCAGAAGCTGCTTACTTCTATGCAGTCCCACTCATTTATTTTTGCTTTTGTTGCTTATGCTTTTGATGTCATATCTAAAAAAATCACTGCCAATACCAATGTCAAGGAGCTCTTCCCTTATGTTTTCTTCTAGAAGTTTTACGGTTTCAGGTTTAAGTTTTCACCCATTTCGAGTTAATTATTGGGAGTGGTACAGGACGGAGGTCCAGTGTCATTCTTTTGCACATGAACATCCAGCTTCCCCAACACCATTTGTTAGAGAAACTACTCCTCCCCTACTGAGTTTTGGTTCGCTTGTTGGGAATCAACTGGATTGGGTTCTGGGCTCTTGCTTCTTTTCCACTGCTCTATGTGTTATGGAGTATCATACTATTTTGAGTACTATAGCTTTGTAATGAAGTTTTTTTCTTTAAAGATTTTTTTAAAGTAATCTCTATACCAAATGTGGAGCTTGAACACAGAACCCCAAGATCAAGAGTCGCATGCTCTAATGACTGAGCCAGCCAGGCGCTCCTGTAATAGCATTTTAAAAATTAGAAAGTGTGTAGGGGCACCTGGGTGGCTCAGTCCGTGAAGTGTCCAACTTTGCCTCAGGTCATGATCCCCTGGTTCATGAGTTTAAGCCCCACATTGGGCTCTGTGCTGACAGCATGCAGCCTGCTCTGGATCTGTCTCCTCTCTGCCCCTCCAACTCACACATGCACTCGCTTTTGAAAAAAAAAAAATGAATGTTAAAAAAGTCAGGTGGTGTGTAGGTCCTTTTACTACAAAAAAAAAAAAAAAAAAGAAAGCATGTGGCCTCCAGTTTCGTACTTCTCTCAGATTTGCTCTGGCTATTCAGGGGTCTTCTGTGATTCCATATGAATTTTAGAATTTTTTTGTTTTTAATTTCTGTGACAAAGGCCATTGGAATTTTTATAGGGATTGCAAAGAGTCTATAGATGGCTTTGTATAGTATGGACATTTTAATATTAATTCTTTTGATCCCTGAACACAGAA